TTTTGTATTTTTGGTAGAGGCAAGGTTCTTGGCCAGCCTGGTCTTGAACTCCTGACCTCAGGTGATCCACCTGCCTCAGTCTCCCAAAGTGCTGGGATTAGGCATGAGCCACCATGCCTAATCAAGTCTCAGAACTCTTTTGCAGCACCTAGTTTACCCCACACATGGCAGTGCTCCAAAGGGGAGAAATGGGACTCAGGCCCACACTGGTCCTAGTCTAAGCTCAGAGCACTCCATCCACATAGCACTGCTGACCTCAGCCAGTCCCAGATACTTTAGTGGGGGAATATCCTATGTGGAAGGCACTCCAAAGTGTAGGGGAGCCCTGAGGGCAGTGACCCTGCTTACTCAGGTCTAAGGACTCTACTGGCCCTAGAATATAAATTTTGTGGCCATCCAAGGAATGAAAATTTAAAAGCCCTATAAGATCCCACATATCCACATATTGCCAACACACCTGAAACTCAAACCCGTGCTGACGGTATCGCACTTTGTGTTACAGTGCTGCCTCCAGAAGGACTCCATCAAGATACCATGTGCTTTCTGTGGCAGTGAGCCATGCAACACACCAAATGCAGCTGCCATCAACTGAACCCCATCATGGGTCATTTAATCTTATCTAGTCCTCACAAAAACCCTGTAAAGTAGCTACTGTCATTTCTCATTTTACTGACAAGAAACCTCAGACTCTGAGAGCTGAGGGCAATTCCCATAGCCACAATTGCTTTTTTTGAGAGGCAGAGCTGAGATATTCTCACATTTATCCCAAGAATTGATTCTTTCTCCTACAGCACACCACATCAGATTAGTTAATTATCTGAGCAGTTCAACATCTTTGTTAACAGTTTTCAAACATTAATTCATAGAAAAACTAGTATGGGAGGGATAGTAATGTAGGCCCCAAGATCCCTGGAGCCCACCTGATGTCTCGGCTCTGACTCAGACTAATTAAACCAATATTGCTAGAAGAGGGCCCTAGACTTTTTCTTTAATTAAAAAAATTTTAAACTCCCCAAGGTAATGTTTTGTTGTTTTTGTTTGCTTGGTTAGTTGTTTGTTTGTTTATTTTGAGACAGAGTCTTGCTCTGTCACCCAGGCTGGAGTACAATGGCTTGATCTTGGCTCACTGCAACCTCTGCCTCCCAGGTTCAAGTGATTTTCCTGCCTCAGCCTCCCGAGTAGCTGGGACTGCAGACTTGCACCACCATGCCGGACTAATTTTTGTATTTTTAGTAGAGACGGGGTTTCACCACATTGGCCAGGCTGTCTTGAACTTACTACAGGTGATCCACCCACCTCGGCCTCCCAAGGTGTTGGGACTATAGGCATGAGCCACCATGCCCAGCCAGCAATGTTAATAAGCAGCCAAAGTTGAGAACAACTTAACAAAAATTTTTTGTTAAGACAAGGTCTCGCTCTGTTACCCAGGCTGGAGTGCAGTGGTGCAATCATAGCTCGCTGCATCCTCAATCTGTGGGGCTCAAGCAATCCTTCCACCTCTGCCTCCCAAATAGCTGGGATCACAGGCATTTGCCCCCATGCCTGGCTAATTTTTATATTTTTTTGTAGAAATGAGGTCTCCCTATGTTGCCCAGGCTGGTCCTGTACTCCTGGGCTCAAGTGATCCTCTCACCTCAGCCTCCCAAAGTGATAGGATTACAGGCATAAGCCACCACACCTGGCCAAAAACTTGTACAGAGTGTTCTGAAGACAACATGTGAGGGTCTTGCAAACAGTAGAGGAGACATCCCTTGGCCAATAAGTAGATAGTCATTGATTAATAAATGTGTCAATGAAGAATATAGAAAAAAACTTATAGTACAGATCCTTCCACAAAGATGCTTGTGACCTAACTAGTATCATATAGGGTATATTCAAATTAATAAGGGCTAATTAAGTAGTATATATAGATCCCACAATTTCTTGAAACTTTTGGGGCCAATGCATTTTGGCCAACTTTTCAGATTTTAAAAAGCAATATTGTACGTTAACGTGTGTATGCTTATTTCATATATTACTAACACACTCCTAGAAGGGTCCACTCATAACTAAACACTGTGATATTTCCACAGTGAAATATGTAATGGTCACATAGCATAAATAAGGAAGATAAATAGCCTCACATTGTCATTCTGGTTAGGTGTCATATCTAAATGAGTTTTGGAGTCACTTTGAAAAAAAAAACGTTCAGTTTTCAAAGATTTAGGGATTTGGGTGCTGTAGATAAAGGACTGGGGATCTGTCATATGGGCTCAACATAGATCCTGGAAGTGTAGAGAGGAAGCTACATTGGAATTGGAAGACTTGGTGAAAGTCTTGTGAATGAGGCACAATTTGAGCTGCAGTGAGTTAATTTTCTGTCCCTGGGAGGTGAGGTCCCCACAATGCCTTGTCACCCTGTTATCAGCCATGGAAGCTACATTTTCCTGCTTAAGCCACTAGGGGCCTGTAGAGTATTTTGTAAATTGCTTTCCTGAGATAGTCTACAGGGCCAGATTAAAAAAAAAAAAAAGTGACCACTTTGACCATACCCACAATAGAGAAGTGCAGTTGTACAAAGCCTAAGAGTCTTGTGATTACTATAGAGGCTCAGGGTGGGTAGCAGGGAAGAACGTGGGTAAAGGATGCTCTAAACACTTCCAGTCCACATCCAAAGACAATCGCAGAACAGGGAACAAATTGATGGCCAGGACTACAGCAGCTCTTCACTTTTTTTTTTTTTTTCCCCAGGGTAAGGGATAGGAAAGGAGAGCTGGAGAGCTTAGAGAAACTAGGCATCATCACTCTATTCTGCCGTATCTAATCCTAGGAACAAAATGCAAGTTGGGTGACCCACAGGGCAAAGAAGAATTAATCTGCATAATACCTAAGATCGGAGAACAACATGAGAAAGAGAAAGTAAAAAAGGAAGAGGAAGAGAAGGGGAAGAGAAAAATGATGATGAGTTGCTTCATTGTCCAACTGGTGACTGGAGCTTCTTGTCATTACAGGTTATAATAATGTGCTTTTTAATAACAGAAGTTAGGTAGTTGCAGTTAGGAGTGACCTGATCTGGTTTGGACAACTCGCAGAATGTCAAATCAAAAGGTCGGGAGCTTTTGTGACATTTTCCCCCCTTGAGCCCACAGGCAATGACAGGACTGTTACAGACAGCTTTGACCGTGTCTGGATCCTCATGGATGAATGCATGCTGGGTTATGCAACTCTGATTGTGCTTCTTTATCTTGTGTGCCATCATGTCATTGCATTCTCTATCTGTCTGGTCAACCCTAAGATAGTCTTTGTTGTTCTGAAAGAGAGACTCAGCTCTGAGCAACTCTTTTTCACCAACCTCGTCTTCATTGAGGATGGGGTCTTCTGGCCAGCCAGGTTGCACCACTTCTTTGTTGCTAAGCACCAGGGTTTCTGTGGTTTGGGTGCCCTCTCCTGCCTCAGTGGCCTCAGCTTTGTCCTGTGAGTCACTGGACCAAAATTCATTGAGCGGCTGATCGCTCTCCTCCAAGACTGCTGCAGCCATATGAAGCCCCAGCCCCAGGCCCAACCCCAGGCCCAGCAGCAGCAGCAGCAACATGAAAAAGATCTGCACCAGATTCAACTTCATTTTGCCTGGAGAGGAAGCAGGAAATGGAAGAACGTGACTTTGAGATCAAAATTGGCCCTAGAAGAGACTGTAGTCTCCCTAAGTCCTACAACATTGTATTTGTGGTTCACTCTC